TGATGAGAAGAAGATGGGAGGTGACGAGGAGGCCAAGGGAACTACCTTCAAGCCTGTTCCGGGCAACGCGGTATACTGGGAGAACTTCCGGGCTGATGGGAGCGGTGCCGGGTATGACGAGACGTGGCACGCCGGACTGCCAGTCATAAAAGGCGTCAAGGTCGGGCTGAATATCTGGAGCACTGGGAGGATAGAGTGAGATGACGTGAGTCGGACGTGCTCCATACAGCATCATAGCTTCGAATCATGCTCAGTTTAACATGGTAACATTAAGTGTTGCTCAGTCTGTTCTTTTGTACGACAATATGAACGCCAACCTTCAGCACCCCTTCTCAAGTGATATAGCCCCCCCCCCCCCAACAACAACAACATACGTCCCAAAATGATGCAAAGATATCCAGCCACCAAAATGCTCCGGCTTGCTTGAAGAAGATGAGAAAGAAAAACAAGGAAGAAATTATGGAGTGAACGCACACGCGCACGTTAGCCGCATTTCTCACAAACACAACGACGCCTACTATGAAAGACCAAGGAAATTCGGCTCTCCCCCACCCCCAGCCGTCCAGTCAAAATCGTCCATGAGCATCGACCAGTCGATATCCTGCAGCGGGTCACTCGCCGGCACAAGGTTCGCGTTCGCATCCGTCGCCGCCGCTACCACAAGGTCAGCAACACTTCCACCGAACCCCCGGCCACCCCTACACTCACGCGTCGACGCCGTGCCCCCCACCCCGGCTCCCTGTCCAACACCACCTCCTCCAGCAACACCACCGGCACCACCGACCCCGACACCAGAACCGCCCTGCCCAACCCTCGCCTGATCAAGCTCTTTCTTCCACCGTCTCAGCGTCCCAAACGCGATGACAGCACCCGTACGGTGCGGATACTGCGAGATGGGCGCCTCCAGCTTGGGCATCATGTGCCTCAGACTCCAATAACTCTCCGACATGCGCAGCACACGCATGGCGAAATCGCCTTCCTGCACGGAACACCGCCGCAGGGCTTCTTGCGCGTTCTTGACCGAGACGTCGGCGTTGGCGAGCTCGACGTCTGTAGCGTGGCCCGAGACGAGGACGTCGAATATCACGGCGGCGGCGTCGAGGATGGTGCGGAAGACGTGTTGCGGGGCGTGTAGGAGGAAACGGTGCGAGGACTCGAGACGTAAGGAGAGGTTGATGAGGGCTTGGGCTGTGCTGTAGGCGCGGTTTACGTTGTGGCGGAAAGTAGGTGTGTCCACGGTGGAGAGGGGGATGAAGTAGTAGGATTGGAGCTCGAATTGGACTGCTAGGATGGTAAAGAGATCGAGGTCTGTACTTATCAGTAAAGGGGGGTTTCTTGGCGTGGTTTCGGGGGGAGGCAAAAGAGAATCATGTTTACGAACCAGAGTTGTGTCGAGCCTGTAGCTGCTTTAGCTTATTCAGCTCATCTTCCAAAAGCTGAATGACGGTGTCCGGCACGCCTTCGCCTTCTTCGGCGACGGAGAAGACGGTCCGGCTCAGTCTGTTGGAAAACTTTTGCATCTCGTAAAGGAGGCCAAAGTACCCCAGAGCATCAGGGAGGGATCTCCCACCGGCGGCCCTGTTGACGGCTTCATTGAAGAAGCCGGCCGGGGGCGGGAAACCATTACTTGAGGCGACTCTATGCCACGTAGTCAGATACCAATTGCCGAAACTGAGTCACATATGTTTACAACTTAACAAGAACGTACCTTTGAGCCTGGATATTATACCCCATCCACGTAAAACAGGCCTCCTCGTCGGTGATATCAGTCTGCCGGTTCGGTCCTATACAAAACTCGGGATGTGTGCCACGGCCCGTATGCAAACCCAGCAGCAGCGCGGCATTCTGAGCGATGGCGACGTACGAGGACGATGGGTCGTTGAGGAAGCGGATGGAGGGTAAGGGCCATGTGCAGAGGACGAGCAGGGCGTCAACAGTAGACATGCTGATGGGCGGGCTCGAAACGGCGGCCCAGACCTCGCGGGGCAGGTTCTCGATGAGAAAAGGGAAGAGGCCGGCGTCGCGGGTGTACCGCCGCGAGGAGATGGCGATGAGGGTCCAGAAGAGAATGGGGCTCTGTTTGTAGAGCTTGTCTGGGTCCTGAGAGCGGACGATGGGGAAATAAGGGTGGAAGTGCTCAAAGTAGCTGTTGTCATAACGTCTCAGTCTTTGTTTTTCTGATATGGATACGTGCTGGCTTGGGGATGATGTAGGAAGAAGGGTTAAGGTAGCTCACTGGTCAAAGTAAAAATCGATATCCTCCCCAGACAGTACCTTGGACCCCAAAGCCCTTGGCTGGGCGGGCTGCCTCGCGGGACCCGTAGGTGTAGTATGCGATGTGAGGGTCGGCGTTGGGACCTGCTCCGGCTGGCGGGCCTGCTGAACGGGAGACAAGGCCGGCAGGCTCACCCTTGATGCGGAGGGGGGCGGCCGGTGGTCCGAAAAGGCACTGGCGGCTCCGGGGTAGGCAGTGCTCGGGCTCGGCAGCGGCAGCGGCAAGGCGGCCGGAGGGAGGATGCCAGTGGCGGAGACGGGGCTCGGGTTGACGGCATTCTTGATTGTTTGGACTTCTTTTTCGAGTTGTTCTAGTTTGCTGTTTGATGTTCACACACGCGCGGAGATATTAGACCGTGATCTTGTATTGGAAAGACACACACAATAACATAGGCCACCGGGAATTGAAAGACGGGCGCCTTTGGAGCAGGGAGGAAAGGAGAAGAGAGGAAAAGGGAAGCCACCTTCGTCTGGTCATCCGCTTGTGAGACTTGTCAATGACACATTGTATACCGAGCTTAGAGCAACGTTGACACGGCTTGTTGGGCGTGTAGCTCGCATTGCACTTGACCTATTTCCAGTCGTCCAAAGACGTTCTGTTAGCATACGGGACGTCATATTCGGTATAGCAGTGCGACGGATTCCTAGAACATGCAAAAACGCCGAAGGAACAGAATAAGTCTCATCGGCATGTTTGCTGACATTGCATGATGAGCCCCAGGGGACCTGACGAGGTGGCCCCCCATCCGTCCTTCCCGAGTCCCGGATGTCAACCGCGATCCAATGGGAATGGGAACCGGGAGAGGCGTTGGAGGGGCACGGGGCATGCTTGACATGTGTGGCAGCAGAATGTTTAAAAGATTAAAACACCACGAGGTAAGGTCGCCATGCAAGGGGTTTGAGGGACAGATACAAGATGAACTGGTCCAGGGTATGTATAAAAGGTATGTACGGATACAAAAAGGGAGTATCAGAGGAAAAGTGAAAGCCCACCTTGGAGTCGCGACAGCTCGTGCAGGCTGTATTGCGCCGGATCCGGTTCGGCACTGGAGGGCTGGGCGAGGTATCCCTCTGTGCCGACGCGGGGCTCTTCAGCGGCGGGTCCATCAAGTTTAGGGTAGGGTGCGCGCGTGCGTGCGTGCGCTCTGCCTCCTTGTCCAGGTTTAAACGCCTCTTTGTGTGTTTAAATGAGCCGATTCTGGCGCACTTGTGGGTGCTCGCTCTGATTGTCTGGCTCACTTGCTGGCAGCTGCTGTGGTTGTGTGAGTTGTTGATGGCAGAGGTGGAGAGGAGAGAAAGGGAAACTCGGCGCGGTTTCGGCAATGCAGAAGAAAGGTGAGGAGGAGTGCGGTTTGATGAGAAATGCTGGGAAAGACGCGACCGCAACCAGAGAAAGAGGAGACGATCACGTGCGCTTACCAAGTCCATTTCTGAAGGATTCAACGGCGGTCTTATCGCGGACAATGTCCGTACCTCCTTCTATCTTAAGGTAAGCACGTTTGATATGCAATCTAGCCAACACCGAAGCCGATGCCTCTCTTTCGATCCCCCGTTTGAGTCATCGCGAGAAGTCTATGGTGTTTTGCGATCAGGACGACGAGTCAGACGCTCGTCGTGTAGCACACAACTCACTCAATACACTCGTAGCGGGACGCTACATTCGAACATATGCTTTAGACTGATGCATGCCAATGTCCATTGACTATGTAGGCAAGGCCAAGGAGGTAAGTAGAACGGCCATTCATCAATTGACCTATTGAATCAATACACCTTAGGGTGCGCCATGGAGGTATGAAGCTTGGTCTCACTGTGGTGAGTCACTGAGGCAAGGCGCAACTGCCTCGAAAGTTTTGAAGTAAGCCTGGTAGTCGGAGAAAGCTCTCGGGTTCCTCGATAAAATCAGGTTGATAATCACTTTGACCATCTTGGTCAAATCGCCGCCGAGAACATCTGCGTATTTTGGGAACTATGCACAATCCAATGGCTTGCTTCATCTACATCAACGGCTACCCAGGCGTCGGCAAATTCACCATCGCCAGCGCTCTCTCTAAACTGATTCCACGCAGCCGCGTCTTCCACAACCACCTGGTAATCGACCCCGTCGCCGCCATGCTCGATCGCGACGATGCCGAGGCCTACAACGATCTGAGAACCACATTCCGCAGACACGCTCTGGACACCATCGCCACACACCCTGCGCTTGCGGACAAGACGTTCATCTTTACAGACGCGCGGGAGTCGGGTCCTCTCGGCAGCGAAGCGGCGCAAAATTACAAGGCGGCCGCTGAGAAAAGGGGCGTGCCGTTCATCTCGGTCGTGTTACATTGCGACGTGGACGAGAATGTCAGGAGACTTGGAGGCCGGAGGTGTGCTAAAGATGGTGAGAGGGCTAGTAACACCAAGTTGACTGACGATGAGATTCTGAGAAAGATTCGGGAGAAGGAAACCATCTTTCAGTTTGGGGATGAAAACGAAATGTGTCTGGACGTCACGAGCCTGGAGCCCGATCATTCTGCGTTCCTGATTTTACAACATGTGAACGCGGTTCACCATCGTCTTGATAAAGACAATTGAAGGTCATATTTCATTCACACCACATAATTTCATCGGCGATCTCATCAAGCGCTATGGTTTCATACTCTCGTCAAGATACCTAGAAACTCTCCCATTGCTTGTCATCATCCTTTAGGAAATGGCGCTAAACGTTGGAATTCTCATCCTTGATATCACGTCCACTTCCTCTCACAACTTCCAACCCACATACCCCAACCCAGAACCTTGCCCTGGATAGCTTCGGCGACCTGCTCCCTAGTAGCCCGGGCCTCCAGCATTGTCCTATCCAGTGGCTCGCTCAGGGCAACAATTTGGAAGAAATCTGTTGACTGTTAGTCTTCCCATTTTACCTGAATGCATGAGAAATCAAAACTCACATCTGTGGGTACCGTGGTTCATAAGAGGCCGCGGGGGAACATACACACCCTCCCTCCGCCCCTTACCCCAGTAAAACCCTCCCTTTAGCAGAGATTTGCTCTCATCCTCAATCTCAAAGTCTTTGGGGTTCACCTGTTTCTTCTCAGGTGCAATGCCACCGTATACACTACAGTCAACAAGTCAGCATTTTCCTCTCTTTGAGATGTGTGCGACTTACCCGTGACAGATGGGCGTCGGCAGGGGCGCATCCGGATCCTCGACCACGATGAGCCACTCCTTGACCTTTGACTCGAGGTCTAGCGGCGCGGACCACGACAGCGCGGGAATACGGCCGCCGCCTTCTGTTATGTACTCCGGACCCAAAGTAGCTGGAGACGCACCGCAGTCTGGCGACGTGACGGTGATCGTCTGCTCCGTATGAGAGGCGAAGGCCGGGGATGTGTAGAAGGATTTGGCGTCGTGGGCGCGGGAGTTCTTGAGAAGCCAGCTCAAAGTCACTTCGACGTATGGATTCATTCTGTCGAATTTGAGAATCCTTTGATTTCTAGTATAATGATTATCAGAGTTTATTGATGCTTCTTGTGTTGTGGTTTGAAAACGTGGCTGTAGCGATGATGTCAGATGAGATGAGACGGAAGAGGGGGAATATGAATCTCATATATCGACGATTCTCAAGAACCCATGATTAAGCTTGTTTCCGCAACCCGAAACGCTTATTACGGTATGTCCATGCTTATCTCCAGCTAAGCGGACACGATGCCTGCCTTCAGACGGTCTTACAAGCCTCAAGCCCGGGTGGCTTGGACTTGTATGACTTCGGTGCCGATTCGGTCATCACTCGGCCGATCGATCAGTCGTAAGGCAATTGAGGTCTGAATTAGTGCCAAAATCTCCCATTCCCTCTTCTTTTATCTCTATTTTCCCTTTGTATGAAACTCGACCGCACGCCAAATGACATAGAGTACTTCGCCAAGTAAAAATATGGTGAGTTACTCATAATGCAGAGAAGAGATGTGAGACTCTAGAGAGGATCACTGCAGGGATCCTCCTCGTCTTCTTCCGGCTTGGCGGTGCTTAACGGTTTTCAGTGGTCCACGACCCCTGTAGACGGACGCCGCGCCACGTGTGGCTTAAACTGGCCCAGGTACGGACATTTCCCGTGTGGTGGGTAAGGAATCAGGCGGAAAACAACCGCAAAGGACTGTCTATTTCAATAATACCAACATCAACTACAAAAACAATTATTTTAATTGTCGCAATCGTTGGCAAAGATGATTCTCCAAGAAATTCACCGCAGTCTCTTGAGGAACACAAAGAGCGCTGCTTCCGGGCTATCCAGACTATCAGCAAACATGTCATCGACGCGCCCCTATTCGTCATCACGGTCATTTCCCGCGCTCTTCGTCCGCGGCGGAACGTCTAACGGTCTCGTCATCCACAGACACAACCTCCCGCTAGAAAGCGAATGGCACAAAGTATTGCCTGCCGTCATGGGCTCGCCGGACCCTTACGGCCGCCAGCTCAACGGGATGGGTTCGGGCATCTCATCAACGTCCAAAATCGTCGTGCTGTTTCCGCCCTCGCGCCCCGACGTGGACGTGGACTACACTTTTGTTCAAGTTGGCATCAAGGATGGCAGCCTCGACACAGCAGGTAATTGCGGAAACCTCTCATCGGCAGTGGGGCCCATGAGCTTGGACGAAGGTCTCATCCGGAACCCGCGCCTCGAACAAGGGGCCGACGGCCAGACGTTCGCTACCGTACGCATCTTCAACACCAACACATCAAAAGTCATCTCATCGCGCTTCAGGGTCGTCGTTGACGGGACCAACTCACCAAGATACGCCCCGGAAGGCGCTTACACCATGGACGGTGTCCCCGGCACCGCTTCCCCCATTACCCTAAGCTTCCTGGACCCCGCCGGCGCAAAGACGGGCAAGGCCCTCCCCACGGGGAACCCCCGCGACTGGCTCCTCCTCCCGGACGCGAGCACAATCCAGGCCTCGCTCGTCGACGTCAGCAACCCGGGTGTCTTTGTCCGCGCCGCCGACCTGGGCATCCCCTCGCCCGAAGACCTCACGCCGCAGTTCGTTGAGACGGATGCCAAGCTCAAGGCCAAGCTGGACGGGATCCGGCGCGCGGGAGCGTCTATGATGGGACTGAACCCGGACGTGGAGAGTGTACCTAAGATCGTGCTGCTCTTCTCCGAGACGCGCTCGGATGACGTAGACATCCGGTGTCTTGCGCTGTCCATGGGCCAGGCGCACAAGGCTGTGCCGTTGACGCTTGCGCTGTGTCTCGGGGCTGCTAGTCAGTTGCCCGGAACCATCCCGGCGGAGCTCATCGGTGGCCGTGCCAAGGAGTCTGTCGTTATTGGACACCCGAGCGGTAAGGTGGATATCGGGGCTACATTTGACAATGGCGAGATTGTGTCGGCGGATCTTCGCCGCACGGCTCGAGTGCTGATGAAGGGTGAGGTGTTCTACTAGCAACTTGCTAGAGACTGTTAGACTGTTGCTACGAATTTCTTACCATAAGATGAGGTGCAGTCCACGGATCCTAAGTACATCCGATGCGGCCTGGTATTCAATCTGTCAAAACTTACATCGCCGCTGGAAGACTTCTGAACAAAGAGATGAAAGGCTCCGGCGATGCATAGCCTTACTCGCGAGCAGGACAGCGTTTCAAGGTCTTCACACAATCAAGTAGGTCAAGATGGGAAATCTACACGCAATCAGCGCCCTCATCGAGTGTTGGGTTGACGTGCTCTATCGAATTCATCGTTGGCGCAAAGGTTCCACGACGACGGAAGTTCATCAACGCTGGCTGTATGATTCTATAGCGATTCTCATCGAGATGGCAGATCTGGCGCCGCCTACGATGCGATGTCGAGCCAGAGCAGGGCAAATTTGCAGATCTCCGCGCCCTCTGTAAGCTTCTTGCACTTCCTTCTTAGCGATCTGAGCATCAAAGCTCAGAAGCCGGCGAGCTTGTAGGGGACTACTTGGCGAGGTCTCTCTTGGCATCACAGTAATACATCTGGCCGTGACTACTGTACTAGGATGAGCTCAATTCGGTATAACTGGGCCCTCAAGCGACGATGCAAGCAAGCGTCCCTATCACTACACCTGCAAAAATTCCTCGTATCCTGGTAAAGGCGGTATATGCTAAGGCGGACGTGTTTATTGTCTCCGCTAGATGAGAAACTTGACAGTTTTAGGAACCGTATGGCCAGAGAGGCATAAGCAATTCACTTCAAACTCATGAGCCACAACGTCTTATTGGATACGTTTTTACCGCCACAGTCAACGATATAAAGCGATCAATTTTGTGCAAGACGTGTCTTAAGTCGGCAAACCAGCCTAAGTAATGTATTGCTAGGCTTGGGCGAGACAACAACCAATATGATTGTCTGAAACCCTGCCGTTTATTTCTCGGGACGATATGCAGCGAGTCTTGGGGAGAATGGGAAATCCATACCCCTAACCATCAGGACAATACTCTAATAGTAGGTGCCTCGCTGGAAGGAAGATCGGGTCGCTCAAGCAGGTGCCAAGGTTTGAACGAGGATTCTTTATCCAAATGAGGTTTCCAACTTAACATAATTTTGCCCTCTGCGAAAATGAACGCGACCGAAGGGCCTCCTACAGAACGTGCCTTTTCTGGGTCGTATGGCCCAACTTGCTCCTCCAGCTTGTACCAGGCGCTTCGGGAGTATCTGGAGACTCGCTCCGCAGTAATCTTGTCTATGTAAAGACCTTCTCTTGTGAGCCAGGCCACTTCGTTCTTCAGCTTGCCGGTCGCGATATCGCGCAGACGACGGATCAATATCGGCCCCTGGTGTGGCTGGCGGTACGTGATCTCAAGTTCGTACACGCCAGTACGATGCTTCCAGATGCCCCCCAATTCATCGGGATCATCAAGATGAATTGTGTTGTGTGGAAGATTCCCAGGATTAAATGCGGGCGTGGACATTTTGAGAACTTGAAACCGAATCAGGTTTTGCTGTTGGGTGTAGTGGATTGGAAGTGCGGGATGTCGTATTCAAGTTACAAGTTTTCACTGGACGGGCACCCTTTCCATGGCGTTTTATAGATGAATATGTTTTCAACGCCTCTTTCCACTACTTCACCTTCCTCAACAGGATGTTTAATGTAGAGAATGAGTATGTATCATTGACGGTGAACATGGCTAAGGCGGTGCTACTTCACGACAAAGGATTCCAGAGTTGTTGATCGCCAATTCCCTTGGTTACATGAATGCGGTAAACGCGTACTATTCGGCGATGCTTACCAAACATCCATCAAAAGGAAGTCTTGCTTCTGAACATCCAGCGCAAAGACAGAAGAATAGTTGGGGAATGAGTAAAGTTAGGGGGCTTCGCCAAGGATCGTCAGATGAAGTATTAATCTGAAAGACGACGATCCGTATAAGATGTCTATGGTTCCCTTTGATAGTGCCCGAGACGTGTTTCCTATCGCCAAGAACCGGCACATGAGAGCCTCTTGGAAGCAGATATCAGGAGGTTGGTACCACCTGCAATAAAAAGTCTCTGTATGGTTTATTTCAGCGCTTCCCTTGAAAAAAGGACTGGAAGAAATCCGTAACCACGTTACCTCCGACTCGGGTGTGGTGGAGGGTCGAAGCCAACTCAGGAGACCGGCTTGCACCTCCTCTTCACAGATTAAAACGTGTGTTCTCATGTGCAAGGCATTGTTTAAGGCGATGACATGGATCCAACCAACCATGAGGTCAAGAAATCGAGAAAGGTCATGTTTTCCCTGCCTTTTGCTTACCCTTTTCCCGGCTCAATTTTGATGAATATCAGTCTGCCCACTTTGTGTTACTGCAAAATCTCAAAGTGTCTTGATCTCAAGCCGAACGTGAAACTAGAATGAAAAGCTCACATCCCTTGCCCCCTGACCTCGCTCACAACACTCGTTTTGCTCGTCACCAAAATCCCAACCTCGGAGCCCGAAGCATCGTCCCCTCTCCCCTTGAAGTCCCTCGCCACGCTATCCTCCGACGGATTCCCGCTGGCCGCCATTACGGCCACGTTATGCCTCTTCTCTCGCAACCTATCCAGCTCCAAATCGTCATCATCGTCGCTGTGTGTCGAGTGCATCTGACTAAACCTCCCTCCCCCGCCTCTGGAAAGTTTCGACCCGAGAAGCCCGGATTGGCCAATCGTCTGGAGGGTGTTCGGCTTGGCAGAGGCCGGCCCTGCCCCGCCGGATCTCGTTGTGGCACCGCGTGTGCCGCGTAGGGACCAGAAGCGGCCGACGGTGGCATCGAATATCGGTTTCAGGAGGGGGCTGCTCGAGACTATGATGGCGACACCGGGCTCGAGAGTTCCCATCAGCACGACGCCGACCTGGGAGTATGTCACGTCCGTAAAGTCCATTGTCAAGACGTTCTTTAATCGTAGGGCGGCGAAGATCATGGTCCTGGAGAAGTTCGTACAGGCCACGGTCAGTTATCCATATAATGGCACAACAATGTGAGGGCGAGATGAAGAAGCTGGGGATTCCCTTACAGAGCGCCTGCGCCAAAGATGATGTACAAAGCCACCTTGTGCGGCCACCGCAGTTGCAGGTTATACACCATGGGTATCGGCAGCACTAGAATGATGAGGTCCGTCGCGAGGTCAAAGTAACCCACGGCGGCGAAGGCGGCGTTCTGGTCCCCGCACTTGCCGCCGGGCGTCGCCGGGTTCCAGTTCATGGCCACGGGCTGGCAGATGAAGATGCCAATGAGAATGGTGAAGAGCATCCAGCAGACGCAGAGGCCCGTGGTGATGCGGGCCGCGATCTTGAAACCCTGGACGAAGAATACGCGCTGGAGCATGAGGGTGATGCCGATCTTGATGAAGCCGAGGCAGATGGCGAAGAGGGTTTGGACACCGTATGCGGCCTATTTTTTCCCCGAGAGGCGTGTTGTTAGTCGAGGTTCTCAGGAGAGGCAGCAGAAAAGAAATCAGGGGCAACACGGGGATATCTTTGCAGGCTGACCTTTGACATGCGTTCGACGTGATATGGCTGGAGGGTCAAGTAGTGATGCCCAGTTCCTCCGAGATAGACCACTAGAACCATTGTTTAGTATAGTTCAGCTCTGCAAGACTTTGTGGTCCAACTTACTAACAAAATTGCAGGCCACTAGCCCATAGAAGGCGATCTACTATGTTGTCAATACACCTGAAATACGACTTGCAACCACGTCGTGTCCTACCAGAGCAACAACAGTCAAGAAATCCTCAATGGTAAATGACTGTCCCTTCTTCCGCCGACTGTATAACCGCATACCCGTCCATAGTGTTGTGGCAAACGTCAGTAGCACATTGACGACGACAATGGGAACCGCTCTGTCGGAAAGGGGCACGATCTCGGTCTGGATAACATCCTCTGGTTGGACGGTAGCGTTTGTCGGTACGGCTAGACGAGCAAAGAGCGCACCGCTGATTCTCATCATGGATTCGTGTCGGGTGTCGTCTCGCACGACGGGGCGAATATGGTGGCTGGAGATCTAGTCTTCAACTAATACCGCAGACGCCGCACCAGACGGAACGGGGGAGCCTTATGGCTTAACATATCCGTCAACCTCCTTTCCGCAACGGCACAGCGAGTGATCCACATTCTTCAAGCGAACAGAACATATGCATGATCGAGTCAAGACACAGGTTCTAGCCGTACGAAGGGGTGAAAAAAAAAGCAAAGACCTACTTGACAGGGGCGTCCAACAGGCCTCGTCTTAGGCACCCCCGAAACCAACCCAGGTTATGGTCATGGCTCACCGGCCGATGGGCCATGCGGGAGGCGGGCGCACTGGGATCCCGCGTGGCAATGATGAGATATCACAAATTCATGATAACGCAAGAGGTCTACCATGTAGACGGGGCACGAAAATTCCCACATGGTGATACGATTGTGCGATACAAAGATCGAGAGTCTCTCGGACTTCCTGTGCTTGCACTCTGCATGAAGCTGGGATATTGAGATAGGGCCCGCTCCAAAAGTGCTATGGAGCCGCGCTAATCCAGGTGAAGAAGACGGCTATGTCGAGTTATCTCAAACCAACGAGACTACGTTTGGAAAACAAGCATAACAGACGTTAGTTCTGTCTGTCCGCTGACGAAGTCGGAATATGCTTACGGCTTCCATAGAGTTGCAGTACTCCGTAGACCCATTGCATATCGTAAACTCAGTTTACGTCGATCGACCAGCCAAGTCCCATCATCACATTAACCCTATCCGCGGACCGCGTCGTAGGGAACAGGGGATGACGGACCGCAGAACAAGTCGTCTCTGCATTCGGTAACCTGGTCCGAAAGAAACCCCACAACTCCGGATCCTTGAACATCCAACACCACTCAATCGACTGATGAGCCCACTCAGAGGCCTCTGTCAACTAGTCAGGAACCTGGTCAGAGGATAACGACAGAGCTTGGCCCGGAAAGGTTCCCCGTGGAGGAGGAATATTGGTGGATCCCCTTCAACGGGAGGGCAATGGGGGAGAACCTCTTGATCTGTCGATGTCGTTCACCCGCCATACCCGAGCCACCTTCTGGCCCTGGCCCTTGTTCTTCTTGCGATATCGAAATATTCAAAATTGCGCCGAGTTCCACATGGCAAAAGTCTCCGCAACGGCCGCAGAACGGAGCCTCGGAGGACGATGCTGACGGGCGATGTGTGCGTGATATCTCCCGATGCGTCTGCTCTTAAAAGAGAAGCGGCTGCGGCGTCTGTCCGGTTCGAGTGTGTGAGGTCTTCTCTCTTCGTCCCTCTACTACGCCCGATTCTCTCTGCATTGCATTCTGCAACGGCTCGTCACACATTCTGCAGTCCCAGCCTCCCGGTTCCCGATCTGCAGCATCAATCACAACTTGCGCCAAGTTTTCCCTTTTCAGAATCTTTGCGTCGAATCCTGTTTTACGTGCCGCTGCCCTGCATAACGACACACAAATCAGGAAATCATGCTGCCAACCGACGTCTGGGACTACATTGTCGTCGGAGGCGGCCTCGCCGGCTCCGTCGTCTCGAGCCGGCTGTTGGCGCTTAACAACACGGCCAAGATTCTCGTCATCGAGGCCGGTTCCAGTGCTGCTGGCCGGACGGACATTCTCTACGTCAACTCGACCAACCTGATCGCGGGGGACTTTGACTGGAACTACTACTCCACGCCGCAATCTCAGCTCAACGGCCGCACGATTCAGAGCGCTGCTGGGAAGGGTCTCGGCGGCGGCTCCCTCATCAACACATGTAAGTCAACTCCCCAAAGTTTGTTCTGTGGTAAAAAGTGCATCCGAAAATACTGACGCCTTCTTGAGGTGGATGGATGCGTGGTGCCCGCGTCGACTATGACGAGTGGGCCGAAATGGCCAACGATTCCCGATGGAGCTACGACAGCCAGCTGCCGTTCTTCAAGCGGTCCGAGGCCTACTGGACCGACGTCAACGCCGACGAGCATGGGTACGACGGACCCCTCAAGGTCGAGGTACCCTCGGTCACGGGCCGCGTCTACCCCCTCAGAGACGCCGTCTACGCCTCGTACGAGTCCGTCGGCGTCAAGGCTCTCCTGGGCCTGGACGCCAATGCCGGACAGAACCTCGGCTTTGGCGAGATTGCAGAGAACCGCCGCAACGGCGTCCGTCAGATCGCGTCAGAATACTACCCCCTCGACGGCGTCACGGTCATGACAGATACGCTCGTCGAGAAGATACTCCTCCGCAATGACAACAGCTCAAGCACCGGTATCCTTGTCGCCACCGGCGTCCGCCTCGCCAACGGCACGGAGATCCTCGGCAAGGAGGTCATCGCCGCCGCCGGCGCCTACCGCACGCCGCAGCTCCTGATGCTATCCGGCATCGGCCCGTCCGACGAACTCGCCAAGCACGGTATCGAAACTAAGCTCGACGCGCCCGAGGTCGGCAAGAACTTTGCCGACCACCCCTTCTTCACCTACAACTGGCGCCTCTCCCC